GGTATCTCAGTGTGGTTTTGATGTGTATTTCCCTGATGAGGAGGGATGCTGGGCATTGTTTCATGAGTTTCTTGGCCATCTGGATGTCCTCTTTGGAGAAGTGTCTGTTCATATCTTTTCCTCATTTCTTCACTGGGTTGTTTGTTTTTTGGGTGTGGAGTTTGGTGAGTTCCTTATAGATTTTAGACACTAGCCCTTTATCTGATATTTAATTTGCAACTATCTTTTCCCATTCCTTCGGTTGTCAATTAGTTTTATGGATTGTCTACTTTGCCTTGCGGAAACTTTTAATACTGATGAGGTCCCAATAGTTTATTTTTGCTCTTGATTCCCTTGCTTTCAGGGATGTGTCAAGTAAGAAATTGCTGCGGTGGAGGTCCAGGAGTTTGCTTCCTGCTTTCTTCTCTAGGGTTTTGATGGTTTCCTGTCTCACGTTCAGGTCCTTTATCCATTTTGAGTTTATTTTTGTGTATGAGAAAATGATCTAGTTTTATTCTTCTGCATGTTGCTGTCCAGTTTTCCCAGCACCATCTGTTAAAGAGGTTGTCTTTTTTCCATTGGATACTCTTTCCTGCTTTGTCAGAGATTAGTTGGCTGTATATTTTTGGGTCCAATTCTGAGTTCTCGATTCGATTCCATTGGTCTATGTGTCTGTTTTTGTGCCAGTACCATACTGTCCTGATGATGACAGCTTTGTAGTAGAGGCTAAAGTCTGGGATGATGATGCCTCCCGTTTTGGTTCTTCTTCAATATTACTCTTGCTATTCGGGGTCTTTTGTGGTTCCATACACATTTTAGAATAGTTCTAGTTCTGAGAAGTATGCTGGTGCAATTTTGATTGGTATTGCATTGAATGTGTAGATAGCATTGGGAAGTAATGATATTTTAACAATATTTATTCTTCCAATCCATGAGCATGGAATGTTTTTCCATTTCTTTGTGTCTTCTTCAATTTCCTTCATAAGTTTTCTATAGTTTTCATCATGCAGATCTCTTATATCCTTGGTTAGGTTTATTCCTGGTACTTTATGGTTTTTTGTGCAAAATTGTGAATGGGGTCAGTTTATTGATTCTCTTTCTGTTGCTACATTGTTGGTGTATAAGAATGCAACCGATTTCTGCACATTGATCTTGTACTCTGCAACTTTGCTGAATTCTTGGATCAGTTCTAGTAGGCTTCTGGTGGAGTCTGTCGGGTTTTCTATGTAGAGTATCATGTCTTCTGCGAAAAGTGAAAGTTTGACTTCTTCTTTACCAATTTTGATACCTTTGATTTCCTTTGATGTCTGATGTCCGATGCTAGGACTTCCAGCATTATGTTAATCAAAAGTGGTGAGAGTGGACATTCTTTTCGTGTTCCTGATCTCAGGGGGGAAGCTCTCAGTTTTTCCCTGTTGAGGATGATGTTAGTTGAGGGCTTCTCATAGATGGGTTTTATATTGTTTAAGTATTTCCTTCTATCTCGACTTTCTCGAGAGTCTTTATTAAGAAGGGATGCTGTATTTTGTCAAATGCTTTTTCAGTATTTATCGACAGGATCATATGGTTTTTATCTTTTCTTTTGTTGATGTGATGTGTCCCAGTGATTGATTTTCGAATATTGAACCAGCCCTGTAACCCAGGACTGAATCCCACTTGATCTTGGTGGATGATTCTTTTTATGTGCTGTTGGATATGATTTGCAAGAATCTTGTTGAGGATTTTTGCATCTGTATTCATAAAGGATATTGGCCTGCAGTTCTTTTTTTTTTGCTGGATCTCTGTCTGGCTTGGGAATCAGAGTGATGCTGGCTTCATGAGATGGGTCTGGAGGTTTTCCTTCAAGTTCTGTTTTTTGGAATAGCTTGAGAAGAATTGGGATTAATTCTGTTTTAAATGTCTGGTAGAATTCCCCAGGGAAGCCATCCGGTCCAGGGCTCTTATTTGTTGGGAGATTTTTGATCACTCATTCGATTTCTTCACTAGTTACAGTTCTGTTCTGATTTTCTATCTCCTCCCGTGTGAATTTTAGTAGTGAGTGTGCATTTAGGAATTTGTCCATTTCTTCTAAGTTGTCCAATATGTTGGCATATAATTTTTGATATTATTCCCTGATAATTGCTTGTATTTCTGAGGGGTTGGTTGTAATAAGTCCATTTTCATTCATGATTTTGTCTATTTGGGTGCTCTCTCTTTTCTTTTTGAGAAGCCTGGCTAGAGGTGTGTCAATTTTGTTTATTTTTCAAAGAACCAACTCTCGGTTTCATGGATCTGTTCAATTGTTTCTTTGGTCTCTATGTCGTTTATTTGTGCTCTGATTTTTACTATTTCTCTTCTTCTACTGGGTTTGGGGTGCTATTGTTGCTCTGGCTCTAGTTCCTTTAGGCAAGCTGTTATATTTTACACTTGCACTTTTTCTTATCTCTTGAAATAGGCCTGTAGTGCAATGTAGTTTCCTCTTAGGACTGCCTTTGCCGCAACCCATAGAATTTGGATTGTTGTCTTTTCATTTTCATTTGTTTCCATATATTTTTTAATTTCATCTCTAATTGCCTGATTGGCCCATTCATTCTTTTAGGGTGTTCTTTAACCTGCATGTGTTTGGAGGTTTTCCAGACTTCTTCCTGTGATTGATTTCAAGTTTCAAAGTATTATGATCTGAAAGTGTGCATGGTATGATCTCAATTCTTTTATATTTATTGAGGGCTGCTTTATGTCCCAGTATGTGATCTATCTTGGAGAATGTGCCATGCGCACTTGAGAAGAAAGTGAATTCCCTGGCCTCAGGGTGTAGAGTTATGAATATATCTGTCAGATCCATCTGGTCCAATGTGTCATTCAAGTCCATTGTTTCTTTAGTGATTTTCTGTCTGGTTGATCTATCCATTGCTCTAAGCGGAGCATTAAAGTTCCCTCCTATTAGCGCATTCTTATCTATAAGATTGTTTCTGTTTGTGATTGTTTTAAATATTTAGGTGCTCCCATATTCGGTGTGTAGACATTTATAATTGTTAGTTCTTCCTGATTATTATATAATGCCCATCTTCATCCCTTGTTACTGTCTTTAAAGTCCAGTTTGTCTGATATACGTATAGCTACTCGAGCTTTCTTTTGACTTCCGTAGCATGATATATATTTCTCCATCCCCTTACTTTTAATCTGAAGGTAGCTTCCAGTCTAAAATGCATTTCTTGTAGACAGCAAATAGATGGATTTTGTTTTTTTACCCTTTCTGCTACCCTATGACTTTTGCTTGGAGCATTCAGCCCATTTACATTCAGTGTTATTATTTAAACATGTGGGTTTAGAGTCATTGCGTCCTTTGTGGGATTCAGGCTTGTGGTGGTGTCTTTGGTATCTTGCATTCCTCATTCTTCCCTCAGAGAGTCCCCGTCAGGATTTCTTGTAGGGCTGGTTTAGTGGTGACGAATTCTTTCAATTTTTGTTTGTTTGGGAAGACTTTTATCTCTCCTTCTATTTTGAATGACAGGCTTGGTGGATAGAGGATTCTTGGCTGCATATTTTTACTGTTCATTACATTGAAGATATCCTGCCATTCCTTTCTGGCCTGCCACATTTCATTAGATAGGTCTGTCACCACTCTGATAGGTTTCCCTTTGTATGTTAAAGACCTTTTCTCGCTAGCTGCTTTGAAAATTCTCTTTGTCCTTCTATTTTGCTAGTTTCACTATGATATGTCGTGCAGATGATCAATTCAAGTTACGTCTGAGGGAAGTTCTCTGTGCTCTTGAATTTCAACTTCTACTTCCCTCTCCATGTTGGGGAAGTTCTCTACTATAATTTGTTCCAGGACTCCTTCAGCACCCTTCCCTCTTTGTTTGTCTTCTGGAATTTCTATGATACGGATATTGTTCTGTTTGATGGTATCGCTGAGCTCTCGAACTCTTCTTTCATGTTTCTGGATCAGTTTATCTCTGTTTTTTTCACTGTCTTCTTTTTCTATAATAGTGTCTTCTAAATCACTTATTCTCCTTTCTGGCTCTTCGATCCGTTCATTGGACCCCTCCAGTTAATTATGTATCTCATCGCATTTTTTAATGGATCATAATTATTTTTAAGCTCCATATTGTTTGCAGCCATAGTTTCTCTGATGCCCTCCATGCTTTTTTCAAGCCCGGCGATTAATTTTATGATTATTGCTCTAAAATCTTGTGCAGTTATGTTGCTTATATCTGTTTTAAGCAGTTCTCTAGCTATCATTTCTTCCTGGAGTTTCTTTGGAGGAGAGTTCTTCCGTTTCGTCATTTTGGTTAGCTTTCTATCTCTTGGTACTTTTAAAAGCTTGGTGTACACTCAGCCCCTGCAAGTTCTGATGTATTAGAGAGGGCTCTTTTGATTGTTCAGGGCTTGTCTGTTAAGGAAGTGTTCTTTGGATGGTGTCTCTTGGTTTCTCTTGTTGAGCTTTTGGTTATTTTGTTTCCCTACTGGTAGTGATATTTGTGACTCTCCACCTGTGTAGTTTGGCTTTTTTCTTGATGCAGCCTTATGAGGTTTCCTTCCCAGTGTACTCTGTCTCTTTCTTTTCCCAAACTCCTGTGGCTCAGTGTCCTATGACTTCAGGCCTTCTCTGTTTGAGAGATGGGTGCAGGAGAAATGTATGGTGCTCTTTATTTCTCCGCCATCTTGCCTCCAACCGAGTACATCACTATTTTAATTACTACAGTGTTACAGCAAATATTTTATTTGGTATGTTAAATTCTCCTTTCTTCTTTTCAAAACTCCCTTGCATATTTTGTTTTTATTTTTTCCTAAAAAGAATCAAATATCTCGAAAGGGTTTTATGCTTAGATATTTTTCACATGCTTCTTCTGTATCAGTTGAGTTTGCATTAAAGGACAATGACTTTCACCTCAGTCAACTGTAGGATCCCTTAGAATTTAGCTTTCTTTTTGATTAACAGAACTATTTTGAATACAGAAGTGCAAACTACTGTGATTTTTTGAACCTCTCAGAAACGACAACTTTTCCCAGACATAAACAGATCACATAAGATCTCTTACCTGCAGCTCAGCTTAAACTGCTTAATAATGTTGCTGATTTTCTCAAATCTATGGGCATCACGCTGCTCTTTACACTGATAGTGAGAAATCACCTATGAAAAAAAGCAATGCTCTTAAGTATGCAAAGTTGTCACATCACCTTCTGCTACTCAGTCCTCAAGGCAGACTTCTGTCAGTTTCTTGGTCACCCTTATTTTCAGGGTAGAACTGGTGCCCAGCCTACTGTCTCTTCTTCTCTCCCATATCCTGCCAGTGTTCTGCAGAATTTCAACATCCCTATGGATAACCCACACAGTGGTGTTTATTTATAATTTATTGGATATTAAAATATTATCTATTTTGGTTTCTCTGCTGTTCTTTCTCACTTATGTTAATTAAATGCTCATCGTGTTTCAATATTTCACAGGATGTTTTTTGATTTGAAAAAGACAAATTAGGGGTACCTGGGTGGTCTGTCAGGTTAAGCATCTGACATTGGCTCAGATCATGATCTTATGGTTCCTGAGTTCTAGCCCCACACTGGGCTCTGTGCTGACTGCCAGCTCAGAGCCTGGAACCTGTTTCAGATTCTGTATCTCCCTCTCTCTCTGACCCTCCCCTGCTCACACTCTCTCTCTCTCTCAGAAATAAATAAAACATTAAATTTTTTTTAAATAAATTAATAAATGTTAAAAATGTTTTTAAAAAGTACAAAGTAAAAAAAAATTAAAACATTTTAGCTGTTCTTCAGATGTACCTACTGTAGTGATTTTTTAAAATGTTTATTTATTTTGCTAGAGACAGAGCATGAAAAGGGAAGGGGCAAAGAGAGAGGGGGACACAGAATTCAAAGCAGGCTCCAGGCTCTGAGCTTTCAGCACAGAGCCTAATGCACGGTTCGAACCCACAAACTGTGAGATCATGACCTGAGCTAAAGTTGGATGCTTAACTGAATGAGCCACCTAGGTGTCCCACTGATGGACTGATTTTAATGAAGGGTATAACTAAGTAGCTTTAGGCATTACATTTAAAAATCTTAAGTATGCCTTGAGCAGAGCCCTTGCCTGTCCGGGCCCCTTTCCTATCAGAGCCCCCTACCTGTTGTTAGCTGAGTGTCCAATGAGGCCTGAGGAATACAGCAGCTAGGAATAATGCAATTAGACTGCAATTCCATTCTGTTGGTTTTTGGAACTGAGGCCATGATTAAGAGGAACAGCCAGGGACATTCATATTGTAGCACTACAGGTGAAATTCTTGGACTGGTGCAAGATGAACAAGAGTAAAAGCATTTGCCAAGATTCATTACACAAGAATGAATGTCAGAGGTTGAAACATGATCTGATAGTGTTATAGTTTGAACCACAAACAATGCTGACATGTGATTCAGCAGAATTATTACCATTACCCACCAGGTAGCTTCTAGGAAACCAAAGTCTTTGGGTTCCAGAGAGAGTATGGTTGCAAAGCTGAAACTTAAAAGAACTGATGGAAGGATATCACCAGGAGTGGAGCCTTTGGCTTAATTTCACTCAGTACACGAAACCTCAACCATGGACAGGACTGACATAGATAGCTCTTTCCCAATTCCATGCATGGTGGTGCATGGCCATTTTTAGTTGGTGGAGCAATTTGCCTGGTTAATTTCAATAATGAACAAGACTTTGGCATGCTATGTAATTACAACACTCCCAAGCTAGGATCACTCAAACACATAAAGCAGTTAATAACAAACATAAAAGAAATAATCGATAATAATACAATAATAGTAGGGGACTTACAGCACACTTACGTCAATGGACAGATTATTTAAATAGAAAATCAACAAGGAAACAATGGCATTCAAAGACATAATGGAACACGTGGATTTAATATATTCAGAACATTCCATCCTAAAACAACAGAATATGCCCACAAAACAAACCTCAAGAAATTCAAGAATATCAAAATCACACCATACATATTTTCTGACCACAACTGTATGAAACGATAAGTAAAAGAAAAAGTTGGCAAATACACAGAGATAAAGAACATGTTACTAAACCAGTGAATGGATCAACCAGAAAATCAAAGAAGAAATAAATGAAAGAAATGAAAATGAAAACAATTGCCCAAATCCTCTGAAATGCAGCAAAACCAGTTCTAAGAAGGAAGTTTATAGCATTACCAGCCTATTTCAAGAAGTTGGAAAAGTCTCAAAACAAGCTAACCCTATACCTAAAGGAGCTAGAGAAGAGAATAGCAAACAAAACCTAAACCAGCAAGATGAAGGAAATAAGATCAGAGCATAAATAAATGATGTAGAAAATTTTAAAAATCAATAGAACAGATCAATAAAACCAGGAGCTGATTCTCTGAAAAAGTAAAATTGATAAGCCTCTGAGCACACTGATCAAGACAGAGAAAGGACCCAAGTAAATAAAATCATAAATAAGACAGGAGAAATAACAACCATTCATATAAAAAAGCATAAGAAAAACTATATGCCAACAAATTGGACAGCCTAGAAAAATGGATATATTCCTAGAAGCACATAAACTACCAAAACTGAAAAAGGAGGAAATAAAAAACTTAAATAGACTGATAACCAGCAAAGAAACTGAATTAGAAATCAAAACTAGGGTTACCAGGGTGGTTCAGTCCGTTAAGCGTCCGACTTTGGCTCAGGGCATGATCTCACTGTCTCTGAGTTTGAGCCCTGTGTCAGGCTCTGTACCAGCAGCTAGAGCCTGAAGCCTGCTTCTGATTCTGTGTCTCTCTCTCTCTCAGCCCCTCACCTGCTAGGTGTGCTCTTCTCTCTCTTTCTCTCAAAAACAAAAACATAGCCAAAAAAAAAGAAAAAGAAAGAAAGAAAGAAAGAAAGAAAGAAAGAAAGAAAGAAAGAAAGAAAGAAAAAAGAAATCAAAACTCTCCCAACAGAAAAAAGGCTAGGGCTGGATAGCTTCACAGGCAAATTTCACTAAACATTTAAAGAATTCCCGGAAGGTGAGTGGCAGAGAAGTAAGGAGCTCTATACTTACACACGCGGCCATACCTCACAGGGAAAAGATCTGAAGCCATTGGAAACCTTACAAAACCTGAGAGATTGGGAGAAAAAGGACGCAGAATCCACTGAGAAAGCCTTCTAACGTGACTGCGAACTGGGGAAGATAAAATCGGGCCGGGATCGGAGACTCCAGGATCGGAGACGATCCCCCTCTACGGGGAGTGAGAGGGGAAAAAGAGAGAGTCCAAAACAGAAAAACCTCCACTCAGGGCATAGAAACACCCTGTGCACCAAATAAGTGCACGCCGGGTCCCCTCGCGCCAACTGGTCCCAGAGGGGCTGAGCGCACAGACTGCTTCTTTGTGCTTGCTCCTGGCGGGCTGGACTTCTAGAGTAGCAGGGCGCCTGCTGCCATTGTCCTCCCTGCAGGCTTGGGCCCCTAGAAGAGCCACACGCCGACACTGGGCGTCCACGCTCCTGGCTGCCTGGAACTCTAGAAGGAAGGCAAAGAGCTAAAAACTGGGAGATTTGCCAGCGAGTTCGTGTTTCAGGTGATGAGACATAGAGGGAACTGATTTTCCTCACTCCAGCAGGCTCCCCACACCCTGCAGGCAAGACCCCACCCAGGCTCCCCAGGCTGACCTAGAGAGAAAAGCAGCAATTCTGACTCCACCCCCAGAGCGAGGCAGGAGGCCTGGAATTGCCCCGAGGGATAGCCTGGGAAGTTGTGTCTAAGGCAATTTCAGCAGGGCGAACTGACTGGGATTTGGAGACCGGGACTGGCCTGGGTTGAAGAGCGCAACCAACTTTGGCTGCGCCCCCGGTACGGGGAGTTTACACGCCCAAAAAAGTGAGGTGCAGCGCTTGGTTCAAGAAGGGACTGGAGCACCGCCACTCTCCTCCCCACAACCATCAAGGCAGAACTCCCTCCTGACACATTGGATCACACCACGCCCATCCCTGATTGAGAGCTGCCCTGCTCCATTTTGTTTTTTCTCTTTTCTTTCTTTTCTCCCCAGAACACTGACCTGATTAACTCCTGTCACCAGCTTGCTTAAACAGTCACATTTAGTCCATTCCGTAGATGTAAATTCTACACCTACCGACATGTTCATCTCTTTCTCTCAAGAGTAATTAGACTATATAGTCTCTCTGGATAATACCAGCGTCCTTCTCTCACCTATCCAACCATATTCTACCCTTTAGCTCTTTGAAAAAAGCTTCTTATCCCTTCTGCTTGTTCATTCTATTTCCAATTTTGCCTCATCCCCGCCGGGTCTTCTCTCTCTTTCTCTATGCTCCTCAACTAGCACTGCATACAAACAGCTATTTAATTATAGCTGGGAAATCCGGTCATATGCTTTAAACCGTTCTTTATCCATCGGTTTTCTTCTTTTTTCCTTTTCTTTTCCCCTTTTTGACCCTTTTATGTATTGTATACCCTCTATTATTTGCCTACCCTCCTCCGACTGTTCTCTTAACTTTTTCGATTTTCCTCTCGGTTTGCATGTTAGTTGAATTAGCCTGTGAGTTTATATGCTCCTGCTCCCTGTGTACTTGTCTGTATGTTTTCTTCTCCAGGGCTACCTGAAGAAACAAGCAAGAGTATACAAGGTAGAGAGTCCCAAATATCACTACGAATAGGAAAATAAAATAACCAAGGTCCCAACAAAAGAGACCATTCAAAAAACACTCTCTGAAAGGATAGGCCCTGGACAGTCAAAGAGTCTTCTTGGATATAGCAGTGCTCATAGGTGCAGAGAGCATAACAGGTCTTTAAAACTAACAACAGCCAGAAAGGTAACCAAAATGACGAAACGAAAGAGCTCTCCCAAAGAAATGTCAAGAAGAAATGACAGCTAATGAACTGCTCAAAACAGATATCAGCAGCATAAATGAACAAGATTTTAGAATAATAATCAAAATAATAGCTGGGCTTGAAAAAAACATAGGGGACATCAAAGAATATATGGCTACAGACAGAATGGAAAATAAAAATAGGCATGATGAATTAAAAAATGGGATAAATGAGATACATAATAAATTAGAGGCCTCCAATGCACGGAGGGAAGAAGCAGAAAGAAGAATAAGTGATTTAGAAGACACCATTATAGAAAAAAAAGAAGCTGA